CGCTACGATATCGTCTCATTTATGAAAACGAATCATTGGTACCTTGATACCTGAACCATTATTAATCAGAAAAATAAAAACTTGCATAATTAAAAAACTATCTACGAAATAGAAAATTATATACAATTAAATTTCGTGTCTTGTGTTAATTATTTTTAAAACTGTTTCCCAAATAATCATGATATTAAATATTGATTTACAAAGTGTAAATATCGTTTAAATGCAGTTCGAATACAATGCGTCTCTACATGATATGAGACTTTATTTTTATTAAATTATAGGAAGTTAAACAAACACGCTGGATATTTCCTATTAAATATTCTGAAAATTGGTTTGCTATGTTTTCTGTTAAATAATAACCATTACATTTCTTATGATAAATAACAAAAGACCTTTTATCAGTCTCCAATACATAAATCTTCCCGATCAATGGAGGTTCATTGAAATATTTGTCCATAAATTATTTTCATTGTTTTTTTTACAAAAGGCCTTGTTTTTATAAGTAGGCCTGCTGTAGGCCTACTATTAAAGTCACAAACTCCTCAGCGACGAGGAATTACAGGTTGAGAAACACTAATCTTTATTTATACGTTATACTAATGTTTATTAGGCCTATATATATTCAAATCCAATTAAAATCCGTAAAAACTCGAAAAAAGAAAGAAAATATTAGATACTATGAACTTGATGTAATTTATTTTAAAAGTTTAACTGTTTTAAATGTTAAACAAAATTATAAGTTTTTCAAAAAAAAAAGTCCAAAGTTTTATATGGAATGTTAAATTATTTCTTACAATTTTATGAAATAATGCATAATGCAATCATTTAAATAGAAGAATTCATTTTTCTACATTACTTTTTTTATTAATTCGATTTTTCAAATACATTTTTAAGTTTGAAAAATAAATCATTTTAAAAAAAATTACTAGGACAGTATTTTTCTTCTTTTTTTCCCCAAAAAATTATTTTATTATCTAGAATTTTAAATCGTTTATTTTAAAATTTAAGCGTATAGTTCTTAGATACAGGGTCTATAAATCAGAAGAATAATAAATAAATGATGTGACAATAAATTTATTATTCGGTTTACTCATAAGAATTATACAGAGAATGAATATTTACTTTAATTTATTTACTGTCATTCGAATGAAAATTATTATCTCGGAAGATAATTTTAAAACAGTATTTTATATATATTTTTCTCATTGGTGACCTCAAATATTTAAATAATTTCTGAAAAATAATTTATATAAATTCATAATGTTTATTATTATGTTTTCAGTTCTTAAACTGTCATCATGATTTTTAATCAAACTAAAATCTGTTTAAAAATAATAGGAAATTGCTCTAAATACAAGATACGTAGCACAAAACTTAACAATAATATTTTTTTATTTTATTAAATTGCTTGTTGTTCATTTTATTTTTGATTTACACTTTATAACTTTATACTTTATTATCAAAAAATTCTAAATAAATCATTAAATATTTGATTTTAGACCAAGGGATGAACAGAACAAACTTAATCTGTTCGCCACTCCACTCGAAAATTGCAATTCTCTCAATGATTAGGGGAGATCGGAGCAAGATCGGCATGTTAAGCTTTACTTAAATTTTGTGTAATAAATACTGCTGTAAACTGAAAAAAAAGCTTTGCATATTGTCTATTAGAATGTTACCTTACTATAGAACTGGTTAAAACCAGTTTGGAAATAAAAATAATTAAAATAATTACAACTTTACAAGAAGAGAGAAATTGACGAAGTTGCCCCGGGTATAGGGGCAAGATCGGCAACTTATCTCTTTTTGTAAAGTTGTAATTATTTTAATTATTTTTATTAAAGTTGCCCCTGGTATAGGGGCAACAGTAATGGGGCAAGATAGGCACGTATATAAAATTATGTTATTAACAATGTATAAGTTGGAATTCACTATTAAAACAAAGAAATACAAATCCAACACCCATTTAATATTATTACAACGAAATGCAAGTTCAAAGACATATATACATGAATAACAAATGCAAACATGTTTTCATTTATCATCTGTTTGATTTTTATCCTTTGCTTCTAATGTGGCTTTATGTTGCTGATCTTACCCCGCTAGTCATGATTTCGAAACATTAAGTACAACCCTGAGAACAGAATGCCAAGCCACGATCTGGCCACGTGAATAAGTTGAAGTTACATCCTTCTAACAGGAAAAGTAACTTTCGTTATCATGGAATTATAACAAAACCTGCCAATTCAATATAAATGGAAAAAAATATTATATGGAATTGAACGAAAATGAAAATTTGCTTGATAATTCAACTACGCTTGTTGGAGAACAATAAAAACACTACACTCAACAAGCCACCAATAAAACTCAACTGCCTAACCTATAACCAAAGTCTCCTTTTAATTTGTTTTTAAAAAAAAAGCGCTTGACAAACTTGCCCCGCATGACGAAGTTGCCCCGATCTCCCCTATATACTGATCTGTAGAGGATATTTTGGATCTACTTAACTGGATAAGGTCAATAATTATATAAACTTGATATAAACTATATGTAGCTAACAACTTGAATAATCAATTATTTTGCCTCGTGAATTTTCTAATTAGTTAATATGTATCATACGATTATCAGACTTCTCACGAGACAAAATGAGCATATAGAATGATCCTATGTAAGTCTACGTATTATTATTGTTCTAAAGAAATGGAAAGTTATTAATTTATAAGATATACTGTATAATACTTTAAAATTATTTGAAATTCTAATAGATGGAGTGTAAAATCTGCAAATTTTAATATAACGATATCTATATTAGCAGATTTATATCCAAATTATTTTATTGTGTTGTCATTTTTCTTTTATTATTAACGTTTAAATCATTAATGGAGATGTAATCTTTTGCTTTTATTGACTTAAAATGCTTATATACGTCGAGAATTTTACGATAGGTTTAATTGTTTTATGCAATGAAGTGCACAAAATATCTGATTAACCAATGTTTCTGTCTTAATGATCAAATTTCATAAAAAATAAACATATAAACTACTATACAATACAAATTCAATAAATTTCTTGTGCTGAAATCTAATTATTTTCACTAATTTTTCTGTAGTTTCATTTTAATGCAAGATGACATAATAGAGTGCCACTGACAATATAATGTTTTATAGGCCTATATACAGTATAGGGAGAAGTTGGTATTATGGAACCCCTCCATTTCAAACTGATAATAAAGGCGAACTGTAGCGGATTGTGGCTGAACTGAACTAGGCAGACATCCATAGCAAGGAGAAAACCCGTTTCACTTCAGTTAAACGGTTGTCCGTAGTGAATTAGCATATTTGTGTTTTTCGAAATTCGCAGTTTTGAATACTAAGTGAATTTAATTATTTCTAAAATATAAATCGTGTAATTGTAGGCTCACTGGTGCATGTATTCCGTTCCAGAGACTTAGGGGTACATATTAATCTGTGTGATGTTCACGTTTTTTAAAATTTGGTCTTGACAGACATAAGTAAATTGAAAATGGCGATGCGTGAAATATAGACCCCATTGGTGCTTTTAATATGGAACCCGTCTAACTTTTGTAAAAGTATGTGGTAGATGAATGAAAAAATAGAAGGAAAATGAAAAGAGTAAAAATAGATACCTAACACTATAGGAGCATTACATTTGTGATTTTTGTAAATGATTAGCTTCTTCTTTGTACATTTCTTTATTATTATTATTATTATGTGTTGGGTTTGGTGGGTTATACTCGGTACACACCGGTGGCTGTGTACTATGCCGGACCAGAGTCAAGGCATAGCAACCAAAACAAAACTAAAATTAAATGTGTGTGTCAGTGTCTGTATTAAGGAATTTCCTAACAATATGGCATGTATTCAATATAGTGGCCTTCTGTAGTGTGATGTATGTATTTCTACTCAATTGTAATGTTCCCAGGCTTTTGTGTAGTGTGTGTGGTATCACACCTGTACAGGGGAGAACAACAGGTACAATAAGCACCCTATCCATCCTCCACAGATGCCTGATTTCCTGGGCGAGTTCTGTGTACTTGCTAATTTTTTCAGTGCATGTGTTTTGTACATTGTGAGTGTTTGGAATGGCTATGTCTATAATGTATGTGATTTTATTGTGTTTGTCAATGAGTGTGATGTCTGGTCTGTTGTGGTAAATTGTTTTATCTGTGATTATGGCTCTGTTATTATTATTATTATTAAATCGTTTCTGCGATAAAACACATTGGAGTAAATAACTTTGTAATTATTTAACATTCTTTGTACTTTCCTATTTGTTTTTGGCTACATTAAAGCATTTTTTGAAAACATACAGTAAGGTTCCATATTACCACTCGATTTTCTCTAAGCCTACTTTCTGACTTTTTGTACAGAAGCATTCAAAAACCATACTTATAGTTACACTAGCGAAAAATCCAATTAGGAACATCTAGTTTAATAGTTACCAGTACTTTTCGCACAAAAAATGTGGGTGTAGTTATGATACCTTGTTTACAATTCACTATAATGAAAATGGGGTTCCATAATACCACCTTCTCCTCTATATATATATTTAAAAAATATAAAAGAATACTATATATATAAATCTATAGTATTTGAAAACAGAATAAATTGTGTTATTATGAGAAAAATTTATTATAGAAGATATAAGTTTAGTTAATGACATTAGACTCTATTTTTCTCTCTGTCATATAGGCCCTACATACATAAATCAGATAAACTGTATTCTAGTCATCGAAATTTTGAAAAATAATAACTGATGAACTGATAAAGCATACTGTATAACACATACAGGCTTATATATACGTTTCAAAATTGCAACTCTAAAACATCACATTCATGATCCTGCAGTTTGCTGCACATACATATAATTTAATTAATTTTACACACAAGTATAAATACACTCAAGCCAATTAAATCATTTTAATTTATAACAGTAAGAAAATTTATCAAATATTTCCTAAAATAACAATACATTTGCTTATGAGAAACACGAAAATAACATTTCAATAATTATATAATATATAAAATATATTAATGGAGTTTTATAAATCAATTGCTGTCGCGACAATGCGTCGATTCTCATATGAGATGTCACTGTTAAAGAATTGCGACATGATATAAAAAAATGTAATATATGTGTATATAGTTAAAATGGGATAATAGTATATTAAAATTTAAAATAATATATTTGTAAATACACGTTAATTTATCTTCGATAATTCAATCTAAATGTTAAGAATTTGAAATTTTATGACGTAAGTAGATCTATAACTGCTCTATAGAACGTTTAAATGAAGCACAGTGGTCAGGTGGCGCCTGACATGATGAACTTGAAACTGTATAGCAGTTGCTCATTCGATCACCATGCACCGACTGAGTGTCAACGTTTTGCTCTTCTTGCTCTTATCTCGACAGCATCTTGCAACAGAAACCATAGAAAGGTAAAAATTATATAACTAATAATATAATAATATTATAAAAATCATTATTGCATCGCGAATAATTTAAAAAAAAAAAAACATTATAAAACTTTGAAAATATAACCGTTTTATATACAAAAAATATAAATATTATTTTAACATTTTTATATAATAAAATAAGTTTATAAGGCTAATATTTTCAAGAATATTTTTCTTAAATTATCAAACTATAGTTTTAAAAGACGAAATTAATTTACATCTACTTAAACGCATTTTTAAATTTTTTTTTTTAATTCATATGTTAATGAGTGCATATGAATTTGACGTTTTAATATGAGCTATTGAAGTTTCATAACAGGCAATATATGAAGAAAATTGTAATTTATAAGAAATATATTCGAAAAATTACATTCCATTAACTCTGCTCTTATCCGTTAGACAAAGAGCCGATAGTAATAGTGGTACAAGTATCATACCTTTATCTTACATTCAATAAAAGTAACTTTTGCACGCTGAAACTTCAGTATTTAAGAAGACTTTTCTAATAAATAAATTTATATTTAATTAATATTTTTACAGGATTTAATTTTGTAAATATTGCAATATAACTCCTTAACTTTCTACGTAAATATATAAAAAAGGGACGAAATTATCTATGATTATTTGTACATCTCTATATAGTTTATATGAAATTACAGTCTATACAATATAATAAATAAATAAAAAATTAAGCTATATTCATTTATATAAATAAAGAGCTAAAAGTTTGATATATTTTCATATAGGCTATTATTTAATTATAAATTTATTTTATAACTGAAATATCGTCATTAGTAATTACTGTATAGCTATATATATATTAAGTTATAGAATATGAAAATAATATGAAGTGCTTAATTATAATTTAACTTATATTTTATACTTTAAATATAACATTTATTGATCACTAACCTTTTTTAAAATTAAAATTTACGAATAATATATCAACTAATTCTTTTATATGTGTTTTTTCCTTATTCCTGGATAAATCATTCATCACTGGCATCGTGGAGATTAGTCAATCATTGAAAGTTTGACAGAAAACTTACATTATTCGGGTGTGGTGCACGTCACGTGACTTCCGACTCTGTGTTAGAGAAATCGCATTTTTTATCAATAACCTTTATTTTCTAATGTGTAAAACATACTACACATTAAAATGTAATTCTTTAAATTTTATTTTAACCGTAAAAATATTCAATACTGTTTGACATTTATCGGTTATTAATTAATTAAAATTTCGAGTGTGATTGATTTTCACGAAGTTTTGGCTTCAATTCAAAACAAACTCTTTCGAATGATCGATTTTCTAAAACTTTGATAAATTTTCTGACATAAATGTTATAAAATTTCGATTTTCAAATTTAATAATTGTTAAAATAAAAATTTGTAATTCAATCAGCTTACATTACTTGAAATATTTTTTAATTACCGAATTTTTATATCAATAATTGAATATTTTTAAAGCTAAAAAAACAAAAATTATTTCTTTAAATTTATTAATTTAAAATACTTGAATATGAACTGCATTGTTAGTTAAAACGTTATTTAATTAATTTATTATTTGAAATAACAAATTAGCTTTTCTGTCTGTCCATCACGCTCTAAATAATTCAATAAAACTTGCTTAATCGCGATTTTCAGTGAATATTAATCGCATTTATGCATTTAAAGGAATTTAGAATTTATTGTTAAAAAATTCAGAATTTTTTAAAATAAACTGCTATTATTTTAAAATAAAAATGGTGTCCATTTTAAATAAATAGAGCTCAAAAATCGAGGAAATTTATTTAAAATAGTCGAAATGGTAAAATAAATTTAAATATTTTTATTATTAACTTATTTATGCTCGTTTGCTAACAACAAAATTTAATTAAGAAGCGTATGCGTCGTCAGTCAATGTTAATTAATTATTTATTTTTAAATATAGTGGCAATTCTGTCAGTCCATCACGCTCTACGTTTCTATAACTATTAACAGAGAAACAGAATTGAAGTATTATATAAGAAAATTTAGAATTTTTTGTGAAAATTCTAAATTTTTGCTAGTAAAAATTAAGAAAAGTGATATTTGCATTATAAAAGTTTAAAGGAAAATTATAAAACGAGTTAAATTATTTATTAAATTAATTAACACTGTATATTATACGATATCGAATAATAAATTTTATAATAAATAATCGAAGAATAATTGAATATATCAAGAAATGATGGCAATTGTGACCTTAAGCCAGTAATGAGAATGACACTCAATTAGAACAACTTAATTTAATGTGAATGTATTACGCCCAGTTAATTATTCTTCCTTTAACATGCACATACTAATCACAGTTTACAGATTTAAAATAATTAAGAATAGCCGCTATTCGAATAATTTCCTATGTTAGATTGTCGATAATTAGCTTAGTTTGACAGTTTAAAATAAGCTGTCGTTACTCGAGATAGATTTTTGTATGTAACATTTGTAAAATTTCATTTACTGTATTTTCTTAATCTTGCAATCATTTAAAACATTGTTTTCTCGCTTTTATACAAACAGTTAAATTCATATAATTGTTTAACTTACGATTTATCTAAGCTGTAAGGATAATATATTTCATTTTTATGCTAAGTTCGAAATTTGTAATGTGTAAGGATAAGCTGCACCACTTCGGAATAGCACTTTCTGACATTTATTAGAGGATAAAAATTTCCCATTTCTAAGATAAGATCTTTTAGGATAATTATGTTTTGTAGCATTTATTAATGGATATATTAATAAATGCTACAAAATTATATATAAAGCCTTATTCATATGATAAAATTTTTCTTAGGATTTTATAAGACGTTACAATATTTATTTATTAAAGAATTTATTTCTCAATTGCAATATGTCAAGTAGGTCACTATCTACCTATTGGGAAACAAAAATTTAAGCAAATACTTACGATTTTTCGAAGAAGAAACTTGGGGTGCGCCTTATTGAAAATTTTTTTCGCATCATATTTGGCATTATTAATAGATTTGATATTGTTTAGCATAACGTTATTTTTATGTCTTCCTATAAAAGTATTGTAAACGAAGGCTTGAAAAAACGTCGTACGAAACAATATCAACGCTTGAAAGTGGAATAATTTCAAAAAATATGAATATTTAATTAAAACACGTGTTTATACTTGTTTGCATGTTAAACATTAGAAGGTAGGTCTTATGTACTGTACGTGCATATTTTTCTGTAAATGCTATGATGTTGAAATTGCAATTTAAACACAATTTGGGTCCAAGTAATTCAAATTAATGTATTTTGATCAAACATATTTTATATGCATTTTTAGAAACGCGTATAAAATATGCATTTAAGACTTACTGTAGATTTGACCATTTTCGAGATAAATAAGTTCTTTATAACTTATTTGAATGATTGCAAGTGTTATATATATACTAGCAAATAAGCCCGGCGTTGCTCGGGCAAAAAGTAATGACAGCTAAGGTTAAGGTTATTTACATTATAGCCAATCATACCCGTTTTCACAGAATGCAAGAATTAGTCCCCTTGTTTCTAGACTAATTACAGAACTTTTAGATGGGTCAAAAAATATGTTCGATTTCCCGCAAAAACGCAAAAAACGCATCTGCGCCTTTTAATCTTGCACGCCGGTTTCTCTTAACACTTCCATTGTTAACACTTTCCCCGCTGGGGGAATCACGAAAAATCCCTTCTTAGTGTACGCACCCTATTAAAACGCAATCAAAATCGCAAAAATCCGCATCTAAAATAGTACAATAGAAGCCGAGTTCTTCAAGGTAAGCCTTAATCCTGTCTCTCTCCCCCACGGGGGGAATATTGAAAAATTCCTTCTTAGTGTGCGTTCTGGTGACGTACCCTAACTGTGTACCAAATTTCAACTTTCAACTTCTAACCGTTTGGGCTCTACGCTTATTATTATTACTAACCCATCTCGATTATATATATAGATGTTAGGCTCAAAGACCGAAATCGCTCATTGTGTCTGTACAACGCGTTGTGGTCGTTTTTTTTCGCTCAATGAGCGATTTCGGTGTTTGAGCCTAACATATACAGGGTGTATCAGAATGACGTTTTAAAAATTTGGGGGATTGTAGAAGTTGAAATTTTGAACGTTTTGATATATATATATTTTTTCAAATGATCTATTTGTGCAATAAATCCTTTATGCACATACATATACAGTTCACGTCAGAAATTACGTATGAGAGCGCAAAATTCAAATGTTTTAAATTTGAACCGTTTAACACCGCATTCAAATTAGGCTAAGATTTTGTGTTAACACGCATTATTGCGTGTTAAAGAAAAACCATTCATGCATCTCTATCATAGCGTTCACATGATGATGTATGCTGACGACAAGGGGCATTAGCTGAGCGTTACATGTATTAACACTCAGATCAAACCGTTGAGATTTTCGTAAGCCGTCAAAAGCAGTTTACCAGTCGCTCTTGATTTTTATGTTTTTTATAGGTAACGAAATTCACCAAATATTGAACTATAAGTACTCATTAGATGTAACCAATCTTTTCTCTTATGTTGTACTAATATTGCAACAGTCGCAATCAAAATCTCATTCTCTTCATTAGGTTCTGTTGAATGTAATATCCATTTCCTGAAACAAACAGCTTACCATAAAAGAAAAATACATTTAACTATGCACCCAAGAATGGCACATGGAATCTGATAACAAATATACTAATGTAACGCATCAATGTGAGCAGTGTTTTCAAATCTGCTCACACTTGTATTAACAAAAACACTGCTCACGCTTTTGTATTAACACGTGCTATGGTACGTGTTAATATAAAAGTGTATTCTAAATTTGGCATAATTCTCATTCTTTTAGTTTCCAAACGATCGTGTCTGGCGTTGCCTGAAAGTCTCTCATTTTCTTAAAATTATTAAAATACAGTCGACCCTCTATAACGCGGTAGATACGTTCCACTTTACAAGAATTTCGCGTTGTAGGAATCCTTAAATACATGAGCCAATCACAGCCCGGCACGTGTGCAGTTTACGGACTACGGCTCTTTGAAAGGTTTTCTTCCATAAAATTAATCGATTCTAGACTAATTTGACTCAACATTTCCAAAACACGTATAATTTTTTGGGAATAATCCGTATAAACTATGCTATAAACAAAAAATTGTAGTATTACTTACCGAGTGTGCACCGTTCGACGACGCCATTGCTTAAGCTTGTTTTCGTCGCGGAGTAGCGCACCAAACAGCGGGCGCGTTTTCTGTTAAGTTATTTTTTTGCGAAAAATTCGTTGAACTTTGGAGACATCATTAATAGAAATAATTTTTATGACCGTTGAATAAGAAATGTTTTTTCACAAGAAATGTATAAAATTACAGTACTGTGTTAGACTTACAGTACCTAATTTAGGCCTGTATACTGTACAGACGATAGTAAACTCAACTTACTCGCCTAAACTCTCCGTAGCGTGTAAGTAGTTCGGCTGCTTGTCCACTATTGGTCGAGATTCGACCAATCCTACACGAGTCGGCGATGACGTTTTACCGCATTTTACGAGTCTCTTTTAGCGTCTTTATACGAATACGGTCGCAATTTTTTCGCCGCGATATATGAATCTGCATTATGTGAAGGGGATCTACTGTACTCTGAATCAATTGGATTAAAGTTATTTATTACTCGTAATTTAATATTTTTAAATTTAAATCTTTCAAAAAAAAAATTGTGTAAATAGAGAGGTTGCGGCCGACGTTTTCATCGGGAAAACGTGTACGTCAGACGTTCAGCGCCGCATTCCTGTAAGCCTAGAAGTTTAACAATGGAGTTTGGAACGTCGAGCATGATTCCACTGACGTTCCAAACGCCATTGTCAAACTTCTAGGCTTACAGGAATGCGGCGCTGAACGTCTGACGTAGACGTTTTCCCGATAAAAACGTCGGCCGCAACCTCGCTATTTAAAACGGATGAAAAAATTATTTATTGTAACATATGCCACAAATCGCTTACTGTTAAAAAACGGTTCATACGTCTTAGCATTTTGAAATGACACTTATATCAATGCAACATGAAGTATCAAAACAATTCAAATTGAGCATTTGATCACAGCTAAGTTCTAGTTACCTGAAACTAAGTTCTATTTCATATCAGTTGAAAACGAAACATTACTCCGATACTAAATCTATACTTAGTAAATAATAAGAGCGTTTACTCGTTTCTCATCATTTGTACAGAGCTATAAACAAAACTATACTTGCTACCTTAGATCAGTGTCATAACTACATGACAAAGAAAAATAGGTTAACCCAGTCATCCTCAAAAATCTTGCAAGAAATAAATTGTATGTATAGAAATAAATCCTGATAATTATAAAATCCAAGTTTTGCTTTATACAGATAAACATGGGAATCATCCAGCCTCAATAGAATTTGATATTCGAGATATATTTATTTTCTCTTAAAAAAAGAATCAAAGTAGGGATATGTCTTTTATTTGGGTTAATATATTTTGCTTAGAGTCTATAATTCATTTATAGAATAGACACTGCCAATTATACTCAAATATATTTGGGTATATTTGGCAATTTCTACTCTCTAAGTAGATTATGGTTCGCCAGTTGGAAAATATGAAACAAACAAACTGTAATTCATTTTTTTATGACTAATTGATTGCTTTTGTTAAAGAACATAATGAAATTAATTGTAAAATTGGCGATTTATAATTCGTATTTTAGGAAAACTTCATTTTATTTTGGTTTCGTAATCTTTTGTGTATTAAACGAGTGTTGTTTGTAACCTTGAAACTTTCCACTTAAATACTAATTAACTGTATACATTTATTGTCTTCGGTATTGCTTAACGAATTTAATTAAACTAAAATAATGTCTCTTAGAGCAAAAGTATCTAATTACACATATTCAATTTGGTTTTTCTATTCATTTTTTTTCCTTTTTGCTTTCATTTTCAATGTGTAAAACCGATCTTTTAAAGGGAGGAAAAAGTAAGTGAAAAATGTTTTTACTGGAAAAATGTCTACTGGAAAAAAATTGTTAAAAACAAATTAATTTGAATTTTGAAATTCTATTCTTGTTTCTATGCTATGATCTTAATTATTTAATGTTAATTTTATTGATTATTTCTATAAATAACACACTTTACGATTGGTTATAACTTTTTATTAAATCTTGAAAAGTGGTTAAAATTGTCACATAATTTATGAATTCACAGCTGTTATGTGCTATTTCTTTTACACGAAATGCCACCATTTAACTCGCTTGCTTTACTACCTAGTGTCAAATATTAATGTTCCAAAAAATAAAAAAATAAAAAATAAAAAATGGATGAAAGGGGCGGTAAATAAAACATACTGAAAAGTATTTGTATAATCAATTACGTTTGAATATAACTAATAAGTAATACTTGGAAATTTCAACAAACAGCACTTTCACGTATACAATTTCTAACAGTAACTTGCTCATTTTGGCGCCGGTCTTTTAGCATTTGCCAGAACTATCCTATAGCCAGTCCTCCCCTAGTTAGAATTGTCACATAATATAATGATTGATCATGATATTAATAATATAGCATTTCTTTACGCCAGCTACATTAATTGGTAATTGACAACTTTTAATTTAAATGCTCGTGTTATTTCTAACCAATGGCTTGAAATTATTTCATTAAATCAATTGATCATTATATCACTAATATTAAAATAAACATTAGATTAACTTATCATTTTGTTGGAAATGATAATATTCAATTAGCTTAGCAATTGGTTAGTTTATTACTTCATTAATCCAGCCTCCAAGAGCACAGTTTACGGTGGCCACGTGAATATGATAAATAGATATCGATTCTAAAGGGACAATGATTTGCCTATTACGTGTTTATTGCCACTGACGTTTGTGACAAAAGGAATTCTAAGAGGCTTCAAACTTTTACACTTTTGCAGTCGTATTTCACAGAATGTGTGTATGCGTTTATTCATAATTCGTCTTTAAACAGCAAGAGTCACTAGTCATATTTCACAGAATCTGTGCACGTGTAACTTTGGCAAGTCACATATCACAGTCATCATCTCACTTTCTGTGAAGTGACAAGTAGATGCGTGCACCTACGATCACAGGATCCCGGTCATGTGATATTCACACTCGGACTGCATGATACTTCGTCCAGGGTGGTCTCCGGATTGTTAAGAAATGAGAATATCGATTATAAACTCATTTCAAATATTTTTATATTATCACAAATTAAAAACAGCAAATTAACATTTTTTGATATGTACTTTTTAACTTATATTTTTCGTATATTTTACTTGTGGTGTACCACAGTTCTGGAAGTACCTAGGCGTGCCTTGTGTGAGAATTTCATTAGTTTAAAGCAGTGCAGAGCATTGCTTTAAACCAATGAAATTCTTATGCATCTCACCCAACCCAATTCCATTTTCACCACATCACTTTTCATTTTATCTTTAAAATATCTTAATTAGCCAAAATTGTAATGTATTACTTATAATTGGTCAATAAATATTTATAAAACTAAATCATCAATACGATTAGTTAATAGTTTTACTTTTTAACTATATATTAAAAATTTATATATAATATAATATAATATAACATATTATATAACATAAATACTGTACGTTTTATATATAAATAATATATAGTATATATTTTATCTAGTAGTAAATAAATTGTATGAAATAAGTTATATATATTTTTTAATTTATAAAAAATATATAACTTATTTTATACAATGTTTACTTTCTAACTCAAAAATAAAATAATTGTTTGCCAGGGAACCTTTATCAAAAGAAAGAAACGAAGCTAATAAAATTCGAGAAGAGTGGTTTCAAATTATACAAAAACCAAGGTTAAAGTATAATGTTTATTAAATGCGGCTAAATGGATAAATTGAGTCAACAAATAATAAAGATAGGATTACTTTGTGGAAGTAATCCTTTCTTCAAAGGAAAGAATTGAATAAAGAATCTTTGATGGCTGCAGCAGGAAAGTAAACATCTAACACGATTATCTTCGCTCTAAAAAGCTTTATAAATTATGTAATTTACTCAATCTTTAAAATCCAATGTTTTTCTTCTATATAAAGATATTTTTTAATATTTATTTATTCAAACACTCTTTTTAGTGCTTTATTATCAAATGATTTATTAATATTGGATGATTTGTTGAGAGATTATGATAGAAGAATCACTCCAAATCATAAGCAGAGTAAGTTGTTTTGATTCTTTATAATAATAATAATGTTTTAATATTTTTATTTAAAAATTTTTGTTTATTATTGACACACGATAATGTTTAATTAGAATTGGCACGTGACTTTTTTTTATTGTAAATAGTGTAATTTAACTCGTCTAGTGATTGGTCGGTATTGACACATGATAGAGAATGATTGAAATTGACACGTGACATTGATTGGTCAGAGCTGATATGTATTATTTTCCTTATTGAAAATAACATTATTTAACTCGTTCAGGGATTGACCGGAATTGACAAAGTGATAGTAATTGGTGAGAACCTTGTCATTTTATTGGAAGTAACACAGTTCAACTCGTTTTATGATTAGTCAGCGAACGATCGAAACTAACACATGCCATTTTCTGTATTGGAAATAACATGATTCAAGTCACTTAATGATTAGTTGAAATTGACACGTGATAGCAAAGGGTTGGCTGAATATATGACAGTGCTTAATCGAGATTAATACGTCACGTTTTCTTTATTGGAAACAGACTTAACAGGCTTTATAATTGGTCAAAAAAGAAACGTGATAAAGCGATAATAAAAATATTTTGTTCTTCAAATTTAAATAAAAAAGAAAAAAAAATTATTAATAAATTCATAAATTCATTCTGTAGGCCTATTAAAGAAGATACTATTTATTGATTTTGTAAAACTTATATGTTTAAAATAGGATATTAATTCTTTCATTAATCGCCACTTCATAAATTTATTTCATGTTCATAAATTTATTACATGAAGTTTGAAAATACTGAAAAATAATAAATATAATTTTTAAATTCTTGTATTAAATGTATTATTTGCATATTTTAAAGATTTTATAATATTTAAATTTTCTTTTAAATCTATATTGACTTTAAATAAGATGAATTGATTCTAATCACTTACATTATAGATTTTTATCAATATTTAAAAATTTTTAGTATTTGAATTATATAATGCTTATTAATTATAAGCCAGATTAAATTATACTGTATTTTTTACATTTGTAAAAAAGTTTAATAGCGTTTCTTCTAACATTGTTTAAATTATGCATATGTAAACGCAAACAAACAATAAATACACACACACACACAATTAAATATATTAAAAAAATTAATTTATAAAATTTATAAATTATTTTAAGATTTTTTTCTTCTTCTTCTTTCCCTTAGCATAGCTTTAAATTTAATAAATTTGAGAGGAAATAATTTATAATTTCTATTTTACTTTACCTTTTCAAACATACAGTATGTAAAAATTTGTTTAACATTTTGTCGTTTTTGGCTTTAAAAACTATTTTAAATGACTAATTATAAATCATAATTTTAAAAGACTTTTCTTTAACTAAAGAAATGTTTTTTAAATTGTTTAAATTAGCCATCAATTTGAAAATTTATAGAAAGTTTTTAAGATATATTTTTAATAAATTTACACTAAAAGTAACTAAAATATAAAGCATAAAAATCAATTTCTCGACTAAAAATATCAGATATTAATCAAGAAATAAGAGAACGTTATTTATTAACTTTTAATATCTGCTATATTTAATTAGTAGATTATATTATAATTCAAATAGCGATATTTAATCCTTTATATGCAAAACAATAGCTTTACTCGCCTATTGATTTTCTGTATCAACATCTAATGGATGCTTTTCTAAAATTATAATTTACATCTATATTAAAATCACAGTTTACAGTTTATAAAAAAAAAGAAAGAAAGAAAAGAAATTAGCATTGTGTAGTGGAAAAATGACACTCTTTATTAACTGTTCTGACATCTCAAACAGGAAAACAAGTGCATTTAAAAATTAATTCCTCGTTGAAGTAAATATAAAAGTTTATTTTTTTTTCAAATTTTGAGTTGTAAAATGTTTAAAACGAATTTCAAAAACTACATTATCTGGCTTTTTAGAACGACTCGTTAATGTATTCTAGTCCTATATTAAAGCTGTAGAATGACATTTTATTGCGGTTGAATGTGTTCGTTTGATACAACTACAAAATCCGATTAACGTTAAGCCTGTCAGAAACATAAATTCAATTTATCTTTTCGTCAATTCTCTATTTTCTTTTTTTGTTCTTTATTCTTGTTTTAATGTAATTTCGATCGTTTCTGTAACACAAACCTAAATTCTTTCTTTTACTTTAATTGAAACTTTCTAAAATTAATTTATTGCTTTTCATGTTTGGAAATATTCCAAATAATAAAATTAATATTTATTATACGAAATTAATAATTTAAATGCTTCCCCCCTCCTAATAGCATTACCGACAGTTGTTAAATGCGAATTATATTTAAGAAGTTTTGGAGCTGTGAATCCGGCAACAATGGTAAGAAAGTTAATTAAATATATATACATATATATTAGATAATTAAACGCGCACACGTATAATTATCATAAGTTTAAACTGTATTTATTTATTTATTAAGTAAGGATCCTGAATTATACAATTGATAAATTATTAAATAAATATTCCCTATAATTAATTGAGCTGCAATTTGAAAAAATTGTAGACTCATAAATTTCCACTGTCATCCGCCCGTCTATCTGTCTATCTGTTTTTCCTTAATCTTGAGAATGGAGTTAGTTAGATAGATGAATGCCGATACCATACATAGAAAGCTTAGAAGCAGGATTAACTATATATAAACTTCCAGTTTGCACCGAAAGTTATGTTATTTTAATTCAAAAATTTTCTCCTGAAAGGAGTTAGACAGATGATCGGCATGACTCTGTTGTTAAAGGAAAAGTATGATGTACAGTACAGTACAGGGTCAAGCCACTACTAATTTGAGGTGAAGAGCATATATTTTAAATTAAATTAATTAAAAATATGATTAAAAATTGCAAACCGGCATTATGACGATGTCACAATAAATAATTGTTCGTTAAGGTTAAGTTTTAATTTAAATAATAATAATAATAATATATAAAATAAAATTCTTCGTTATCAGTTGTGTGATATTTAAAATATAACACTTAATTAATTAATTTTAAACGTAAAGAGAAAGAGGGAGAAATGATAAATGATTGATATCCATTATAAAGAAACTTGCAACGTTCGATCAAATCTGGCTGAATACTTTTCTCTATAACTAATTAGCCATTATTAATCGTGATGGACAATAGCTGACTTTGTCTTCCATCAGCTACACCATTGCTATCAAAGATTTAATGAATGTGCATGCTGTGAATGGCTATGCAATTTGCTAACCCGATATTCCTGCACTTGACTATTGATATGTTCCAATGTTGTAATCTCCTAGAGGCAATTTTATAAATTAATAGAATTCCAAGTCTTTGTTCGTTAGCTTTCTAACCATTCCTGAGTAATTATGAGACATTTGGATTTATAAATGACTTAATAAGAAGAATATAATTATGATATTTGTTAAAAGAGTAAAGCTGCTTTAGACAAATGAGATGTTATCATTTTTAATAAGAATTTTTACTTTTATATCCGAAATATTTCGTTAGAATATTTCAATTTTATGAATTTTATATAATGACTTGGTATATAATTAATTTTATTAAAACATTTCATACATTATTTTAATAATTTAATATATTCAATGCATGTTTATGAATTAAATCTTTNTCAGTGCATTATCGATGTAATCTGAATATAAATTATTTATAAATATGTATGTCAAGTTATATTTTTATTATGACGCAAAATATATTTAAGAGTTTATGACCACTGTGCTGGGTGAGACGTTGTTGAAACAAAAAAAGTTATGCATTCCATCACGTACATAAACAGTGTCGTAATTCGCCAAGTGCAAATCAGCAAATTCGTAAATTTTTGTTTATTTTGAACAATCCGGATAATCGAAAATCCGGATAATGGAAATCCGGATAATGGAGGTTCTACTGTAATTTAAATCTGATATACGAGTGTATATCGGTATTTTTCTACCATTTATGATTGAGATTGAATGTAAACGACGAGAGTGCAGTACTGATCTTTAAGGGTCACAGGTATATATAAATTAATTGTTTTATACTATTTATTTACCATACATTAAAATGTAGATAGGATAACGGTCTTCTTTCTAAAGTTGATTAGAATCAAGCATGGCAATCTTGGTAATCTCAGACACAGCTTTACAGTGTCCAGAACTGCCTCAGTTCATTTAAGGGTATATTTAGGGTATATGTTAGGGTATATTTATTCATTTTTTCTCATAATAGTCTATAATTTTAGATTTCCATGGTCAGAATTTGATCATTGATTATGTATACCTAAAATTATAGTGTTTTAATATTTGAAGTTATGGGCGTCACTAGGGTGAGACGAGAATGGGCACCAGCCAATTCCTAAATAATTCATTCGAACCCATTCATCCACTATAAAATAATTCCTGTGCGTTACATACAACATAAAAAAATCTACTGAAGAGTTTTGGATTGCAAAAATTTAGCAAAACCATTAATGCGTAATCGAAACAAAGATATTGATGCTGAAAATCTGTGTAAAAGCAATATCCAAAGACTTCTAAGGTCTGTGCCTATATCAGCAGTAAGTTACTTCTCTTCATACTACAACAAACATTTCTGAATAATGTGCCTAATGTTTCCGCTGTTATACGGATCCTTCTCACACTTCCAATATCAGTAGCAAATGGTGAGCCTAGTTTCTCAAGCTTAAACTTATAAAAACTTACATATGAATTTCGCACTACAGTGTTGGAAAAAAAATTAGTTTAGGCTACTTGGTAATTACTGTATGTACAGTACGTACATCGGAATTTTGATGTGCTTGAAACTGAAACTTTACGTTATGAGACGTTTTGACAGTGTTTTTAGCTTGTTTCTCTGTCTGACTGTAAACAAAATATGGTAAATAATGAGTTGGTTACGCCAAGTAACCTTAAATAATATATAGGCTATACTTTAAATGCTGTGTTGTCAATAGAAGAGCCCTTTAATTCAAAATGATTTGTGTTCTAAAATATTTTCTTTGTATTTGCAAAAGATAATAAAATATTCATTATTACTTATTGAAATTTAAAACAAGTAAAACGGAAAAACCGTATTTGGGACAAGACTATGTCTCGGAGACTCACTACTAAGCGATGTATTTTCGATGAAATTAACCTATCCAATTTCGAAATTTCTCTCCGTTGCGTGTCGGCCCGGGTTCAATTTTTGTCGATGCGTAACGAAAATTTCCCGTTTTTGAAAAAAAAAATCTTGGCTATTGTATCATCCGAAATTATTTATTTTTTATTTTGCACAAACAATATACAGTTTAATCCGATTATAACGTCATCGGATGTAACGACAACTCTAATATAACGTCAAATTTTTATCGGTCCCACGATTTTACTATACTAGATAATGTTAAAAAACCTACTTGTAACGACATAAAACCCTGTTTTAATGCATTATTTGAGGCACTCCCAAATTTACAAAATTAGATTACAAATTTTATTTAACAAAGAAAATACTACGTGTTCAGTCCTAGGGTCAGAGTTCACTTCCTAGAACGACTGTGGGTGGTACTCTCACCACCTGACTTCGGTTTGCCTGTTTGTAGAGAGAGTCTTCATTTTGTATTTTATTTTGACTCGGTTCTCGATCCCCCGAGTACCTACAAGTCTGGTTTTTTTGATGCGCGCATGATTTGGGCACCTAATACTCTGTGCCAAATTGCAATTCCTGACATGTACTCCTTCATACCTCTAAGCTGGTAACACAGCAGGCAGTACGATTTTATAAACAAGACATAGTCTTGTCAATAAGTTTAGATGTTTTGTACTTTTTATTTGTTCTACAAAACACTGTTCATAAAATCGAAATTGATTATTTTTGGGGGATTAAGAAGCTCGCTTTGCCTAGGAAACAAAATACTCTGCCGCTGGACATACTTGTAAATATAGTAAATTTCATGTAGAATTTGTTTATTTTACTTTTACTTCGTATTGTCATTAAAAATTACTAATCTCTAGAAATTGCATGTAACATATAATTACTAGAGATTACATGGTATAATAATGTAACTTGTAATTATAAAATTTAGTGTTATAATTACATGTTCCATTGCTCTTTTTGCTTATAAGATTCATTCTTAGGAAGAATTGTTATTCATATTTACATTAAATACGCTATTGAATAAATATAAGACTAAATCATTTAAAATATTGTGTATATAATCTATTGGGTAAATAATTTTAATAAACGAATAATTTTTTTTTGTAATTTTTTATTTGTAGATGTTCGGATGTTTTCCAATTTCGATTACAATCATAAAAGTTTTAAACATAACTCTCCCAAAATTAATATTACAGGATTATGAAGTTGATTTATACCTTAGACAACGTTGGACGGACAGGAGAATGCAAAGCACTAATTTCAGTCGTCCACTCGATTTAAATGATCCCAACTTGATCCAAAGAGTATGGAGACCCGATGTATACTTTCCAAATGCTAAACATGGTGATTTTCAATATGTGACTGTGCCAAACGTTCTCGTTCGCATTTATCCTACTGGCGATATTCTTTACGTTTTGAGGTAAATTATCAATTAAATTAAATTAATTTTAAATAAAATGTTAATGTTTAATTTCTTAATAGATTAAAACTAACGTTCTCCTGCATGATGGATATGGGAAAATATCCTTTAGATTCTCAAGTTTGCACTATAGAACTTGCTTCATGTAAGTATCTATTTTAATTAAATTTAAATTGTGAAATAATAGTAAAAATTATAAAAATTGATTAAACTACTTATAAAAAATTATCAATATTATCTAAGGTTATCAAAAAATGTTGAAACGTTAAAGTAGTATACGGTAGCAACCATTAAACAGAATGAATATTGTTACATTTTCGTACATGATTAATATTTCACTGTGAATTGGCGACAAGAGATTTTTCTCTACTCAAATTAAAACCGGAAAAAAATAATGTATGATCGTTCTTTTATGTTTTTGTTAATTAATTTCCATTGTCTCTTCCTACTTTCGTCTTGGCTGTATACTTTCATTTAAAATAAAAGGAAATCTAATTCTTAATTTCAGTAATTTAATTATCTTGAGACAATAGTCTTGTAATTGATATGTTAATTTAAGTCACTCTGGAGGGTGGTGTATTCTACAAGAATTGTTTAAAGTATCATAGCTAGATACTTTATATTGAATATATTGTAACACAGAAGAATAAACCTCGTAATTAATAAAACTTTAAACGTGGATATTTAAATATTGATTATATAGGGGAGACCGGGGCAACTTCGTCATGCGGGGCAAGTTTGTCAAGCGCTTTTTTTTAAAAACAAATTAAAAGGAGACTTTGGTTATAGGTTAGGCAGTTGAGTTTTATTGGTGGCTTGTTGAGTGTAGTGTTTTTATTGTTCTCCAACAAGCGTAGTTGAATTATCAAGCAAATTTTCATTTTCGTTCAATTCCATATAATATTTTTTTTCCATTTATATTGAATTGGCAGGTTTTGTTATAATTCCATGATAACGAAAGTTACTTTTCCTGTTAGAAGGATGTAACTTCAACTTATTCACGTGGCCAGATCGTGGCTTGGCATTCTGTTCTCAGGGTTGTACTTAATGTTTCGAAATCATGACTAGCGGGGTAAGATCGGCAACATAAAGCCACATTAGAAGCAAAGGATAAAAATCAAACAGATGATAAATGAAAACATGTTTGCATTTGTTATTCATGTATATATGTCTTTGAACTTGCATTTCGTTGTAATAATATTAAATGGGTGTTGGATTTGTATTTCTTTGTTTTAATAGTGAATTCCAACTTATACATTGTTAATAACATAATTTTATATACGTGCCTATCTTGCCCCATTACTGTTGCCCCTATACCAGGGGCAACTTTAATAAAAATAATTAAAATAATTACAACTTTACAAAAAGAGAGAAGTTGCCGATCTTGCCCCTATACCCGGGGCAACTTCGTCAATTTCTCTCTTCTTGTAAAGTTGTAATTATTTTAATTATTTTTATTTCCAAACTGATTTTAACCAGTTCTATAGTAAGGTAACATTCCAATAGACAATATGCAAAGCTTTTTTTTCAGTTTACAGCAGTATTTATTACACAAAATTTAAGTAAAGCTTAACATGCCGATCTTGCCCCGGTCTCCCCTAATAATAAAGAACAATTTAAAGTTTGGAACAAAATTCAAATTTTGCGTCAATTATATAACATGTTTAATGATTCTTTTAAAGAAACTGTTAAAAATAAATCTTTGCATTACTTATAGTTTGTTTTATACCTATTAATTATTTATTGAAAAACTAGAATAAGTACAAAAAAATATGAAATTAATTCTAGAATATTTTGATGCTATTTTACTTAATTTTTATCATGCAAATGATTATTTGAAGTTGAATATCATCAGCTATTTCTCCCAATATTTATCCTGATTGAATGAATCTTCATAAAAATTAGCGACGTTTGATATATTACATTTATGCAGAGAACCGCCTATTGATAAACGTTTTTATTCGATTTTATCGCCGATGTAATATTTTAAAATTTAAATAAGTTAATATTAATAAATAAGACCTGCTATTTTATAGAATTTTAAATTTTATTATTTACAATATTTAAATATTTTATGCTCTGAAAGAAGAAATAATTTTATATTATTATTATAATAAATAATATTTTAAGTAATCTTGTTTATTTTATTTTTTTTATTTCTGTGGTTAATTAAAAAATAAATCATTATTAAGAACTGTGATGCTATATAATAATTTAACTTTATTAAAATAAATACCAATAAAGAAACAGAATAATTTGCATCAAGATATTGTCTCTCATTTCTTACCCATAAACTTACTGATCCATATTTTTAGTTAGTATTAAGAATAATTTCTAATAATTTCATGTAAATTTAACATTTTTTAATTATTTAAATAATTGTGTCTTATAAACAATCTTGACTTTATTTGTCACATTTTTATCTGCATCTTTTAGTTTCAAGAACAGTGAAAGAAGTTGAATTACAATGGTTGAGCGACAATGCCGTATCTATGTACGATGGATTGAAAATGGCACAATTTGAACTGAAGAGTATCAAACTTTCACGATGCAAAGAATCTTTTCACATAGGTTCATATATAATTTGTAATAAATTGAAAAAAAAAAACAAGAAAATCATTTTACATATTAAAATTTTGATGAATTATTATTCTTTTTTAGGAGAATATAGTTGTCTTCGTGCAGAACTGAATTTGAAACGGTCCGTTGGCTATCACGTAGTTCAAAGCTACCTTCCTTCAATTTTAATCGTTTTTATTTCGTGGGTATCATTTTGGTTAGATGTCGACGCTATCCCAGCTCGAATTACACTCGGAGTTACAACACTTCTGACTATATCTTCGGAGAGCACTGATCAACAAGCCAATCTAGCTCCTGTTTCCTATGTAAAGGCGCTTGACATATGGATGGGAATGTGCACTACTTTCGTCTTTGCTGCTCTTTTGGAATTCACATTTGTTAGTTATTTGGCACGAAAAAAACAATGGAAACACATATACGAGCGACAGATCAAAATTACTGAATCATTATTATCGGAGGTAAAATAGAAATCCTTTCTTTAAATTACAAATACTGCTAAAACTAAAATATAACTAATATAGGTCTATTTATATTGCATGCTATAAAATATAAAACTAAAAGAGAATGTATACATTTTTATATAATTTATAAAATATTCGATATATCCGATTATTATTATATTATTATTATTATTATTACATTAGGCCTATATATAAATCAGATCCGGATTCGTTATTGATAAACTATTTAAACAGTAAAAAGCAGGCTCGTGTTTAGGATTTTTAAAAAATGGTTAATAAATGTAGTACTGTAGTTTATTAATTTTTACAGTATGGATATATAGAGTAACACAATACAAAAGACTAAGAAGAAATTGAACGGATACAAATAAATATTATATACAAAATACAGTACTAATATTTTAATTTTTCCCAAATAAAAATGCAACCTCAAAGCTTCCCGTGTGCATGGTCTTGATAGAAAGTTCAGTATATTTAGAAATTCGCAATCAGATTAACGTTGTTATCTTCATTTTTTATTCGTTAATATTTTTTCCCTGCAGGGTTATTCACGAATATCATTTATCACGGGAATAAAAAACTGCGACATTTATGAACAATATTCGAACTCGATTCATTTTATAGAAACACTAGAAACACTACACTGTATGCTTTCAAATTGCTACTCGTTTCTACTTATAAATAATTGCAATATACCAATAATATTTGAGATATTATATTTTCATAAATCGACTTATTAAAAAATTATATTTTCAAATTAAGAATATTTAGAAATAAAAATTAAAACATTATATATAGGCTTAATTAAAAAATAAGCATTAGCAATGAATATATTTTTCATATTTAGAACATAGAGAAGTCTAAATGGCCATAGAATATACTTTATATATCTGGTGTAGTTGATAACTTCGTTACTTGAATATATCAATAATATACCTGTAAAAAAGTAGGTAATTCAAACTTTGTAGAATTGTTTGTTATTTAATATAGTAGTACTTCTTTTGGGAAATAGTAATATGAATACCTGGAAATATTCCAGAAATAGTAGTCAGAATAATTTAGAAAATTTTTTTGGATTTGAATGTCAAAACTAAATATGGTTAAAAATTTTGACAGAAGATAAAGAAAATAATTTATTTTTACTTAATTTTTATTCATTCAATAAGAATATTGGCAGTTGAACTTTTTCAATATCATTTTAAATTCTTTTTTTAAATCGTTGTTAAAGAAATACACATCACATATATAATCTGAAATTATCTTATGAAACTATTATAACTTTCATTACCATACCTTATTTAACAATAAAATATAGTAGTTTTCTATTATAGACAGACTTATTTCTATTTAACCCACAGTATTGGCTTCAGACTTTTTGGGGGGATTTTGGGATATTTTCTTATAAAAGATTTGTTTGGGGCTCATGTTGATGGGGGCCTCGGGAAATTGCCCTTTTTGCCTATAGGATAACGCGCCACTATCTTAACCATTGATTTCATTCATTTTTAACTATTTTTACTTCTGCATAAAAGTAAAATAAATTTTATTTTTAATTTTTATTAATGAACTATTTAATATTTTAAATTCTAATGCTATTCATTTCGAAAGCTGTCTTTTCATTTATATGTATGATAAATTTTAACAGATTTTTAATACAATAATATATTTTATTTTGCATAAATATACAAGTATAATTTTTGTATTATTAATTTATTTATATTTTTATAGAATTCTAACTGCAACAACTGCGAAAATTCGAACGAACCAATTAAACCGATGAGCAAGAAAATATTTCTTACAACAAGAACAATTGCAAAACGGATCGATAAAACAAGCAGAGTTGCTTTTCCTGTGTGCTTTTTATTTTTTAATGTCTTTTATTGGCCTTATTACTTAACATAATCATTGCTTTCAAAGAAAAAAATATATATACAGTATATAACATAATAACATAATACAATATGTATTTAGTTATAAGTTAGTTTGTTAATTTAATGTTATAATATGATTGAACGTAAATAAAATCTAATAAAACAGAAAAAATTCGTTACAGTCTTTAGTATTAACAACTTTTGATACAAAATGCAAAAATTTTAAGTTGAATTAGTAGAGGAGAAGGTGGTATTATGGAACCCCAATTATATTTTAGTGAATTGTAAACAAGGTATCGTAACTACACCCACATTTTTTGTGCGAAAAGTACTGGTAACTAGTAAACTAAATGTTCCTAATTGGATTTTTCGCTAGTGTAATTATAAGTATGGTTTTTGAAGGCTTTTGTACAAAAAGTCCGAAAGTAGGCTTAGAGAAAATCGGGTGGTAATATGGAACCTTACTGTATATTTTCAAAAAAATGCTTTAATGTAGCCAAAAACAAATAGGAAAGGACAAAAAATGTTAAATAATTACAAAATTATTTACTCCAATGTATTTTATCGCAAAAATGCTTTTATAATAGAAAAATATGACCTCCATCAACAATATATATTCCAGCAGCTCTTTTTCGATATTTTCAGACTTTCTACCTAGTGTCTTTTTCCCAAATTGCTCCGGACGAATGTCTGATTGCAAAGAGAGAGTTCGGAGGAGTTGAGTTCCATATTACTGTAAAAGCACCAAAGGGGTCCGTATTTCACGCATCGCCATCTCGAATTAACTTATGTCTGTCGAGACCAAAATTTAAAAAACGTGAACATCACACAGATTAATATGTACCCCTAAGTCTCTGGAACGGAATACATGCACCAGTGAACCTACAACTACACGATTTATATTTTAAAAATAATTAAATTCACTTAGCATTCAAAACTTGCGAATTTTGAAAAAAACAAATTTGCTGATTAAATACGGACAACCGTTTAACTGAAGTAAAACGGGTTTTCCCCTTGCTATGGATGTCTGCCTAGTTCAGTTCAGCCACATTCCGCTACAGTTCGCCTTTATTATCAGTTCGAAATGGGGTGGTTCCATAATACCCGCAGTGTTCCATAATACCACCTTTTCCTCTATATTTTATTTGTTGTCTTCGAATGTAAAAGTACAGGCCTATAGTGTAGACTTTTTCGTAAATATTCTACGCTAAAATACGGTAATAAAAAAATCTTAAAACAAGTAATTTTGTTGAATTATGATAAAAACCTATATTTAAAATACATGTGTATAAGTTTAAGGGGGATCGAGTTTTGTTGGACGTCCGAAGAGGGGAGGAGGTTACAGAAACTTGGACAAACCGGGACAAAAAGTAGGAGAAAGTAAAGGGAAAGTAAAAATTTCAAGAAAAATGCGGACGTCATTTATCGTCAGTCCCTAACAGAAAACTAAAGAATTTGCAGATGATTTGTTTTGCCCATATTCTACAAAACTGTACCACGGATGGACGATGCTTTGTGAGTCCGCATACCATATAGTAGTCATTCTTGTCTACAAAAAGTTAAGGCGTACCGAATATTTAGACTTTGGGTAAAGATATTTAAATAAATGAAACGAATATGCTTTAAATACAGTAAATATAAAGACGCTTATTGAAAAAAAACAATAATCGCATGATAAACAAGATTATGGATAAATAAAGGTAATAATCAGAGATCTTATGATTCATTACATACCAACGTTCCAATTCTTCGGGCACGTGTGCCATAAGTTCGCCACCCTAGTATACACGATTCTATAATTTACGGTAAAACATCTAAAAAATTCAAAATATTCTCACGAAGATTGCATCCTAGTATTAATACGTCGATAAAGCGCAATCACAGTTAATAATCGCGAGTGAATGTCTCCGAAACGATAGCTTTGCTAGCGAGATATTCAGGATGGCAAGCGTGTGTCACGGACACATCTGAACATCGATGTTTGGCTGGGTATATTCGGCGCTTTCTCCTGAGGTGACTGCGCTAAACACCAAACATCTCGCTAGCAAATGCCCCAAAAATCTCGCTTCCGTTACTCTCCAGTTGGGTGGCATTTAATCCCTCGCTGCAACGCAATGACAGTAAATAATCGCGAGCGAATGTCTCCGAAACGATAGCTTTGCTAGCGAGATATTCAGGATGGCAAGCGTGTGTCACGGACACATCTGAACATCGATGTTTGGCTGGGTATATTCGGCGCTTTCTCCTGAGGTGACTGCGCTAAACACCAAACATCTCGCTAGCAAATGCCCCAAAAATCTCGCTTCCGTTACTCTCCAGTTGGGTGGCATTTAATCCCTCGCTGCAACGCAATGACAGTAAATAATCGCGAGCGAATGTCTCCGAAACGATAGCTTTGCTAGCGAGATATTCAGGATGGCAAGCGTGTGTCACGGACACATCTGAACATCGATGTTTGGCTGGGTATATTCGGCGCTTTCTCCTGAGGTGACTGCGCTAAACACCAAACATCTCGCTAGCAAATGCCCCAAAAATCTCGCTTCCGTTACTCTCCAGTTGGGTGGCATTTAATCCCTCGCTGCAACGCAATGACAGTAAATAATCGCGAGCGAATGTCTCCGAAACGATAGCTTTGCTAGCGAGATATTCAGGATGGCAAGCGTGTGTCACGGACACATCTGAACATCGATGTTTGGCTGGGTATATTCGGCGCTTTCTCCTGAGGTGACTGCGCTAAACACCAAACATCTCGCTAGCAAATGCACCGAAATCTCGCTTTCGTTACTCTCCAGTTGGGTGACATTTAATACCTCGCTGCAACGCAATGACAGTAAATAATCGCGAGCGAATGTCTCCGAAACGATAGCTTTGCTAGCGAGATATTCAGGATGGCAAGCGTGTGTCACGGACACATCTGAACATTGATGTTTGGCTGGGTATATTCGGCGCTTTCTCCTGAGGTGACTGCGCTAAACACCAAACATCTCGCTAGCAAATGCACCGAAATCTCACCTGGATTAATTTTCGACTTGTGAATCGAATGTCATCAACAATGCAACACTAACAATTGAATTCAACAATATTATTCATTGTTGCGTTTCATTAAATTAAAAAAAAAATAAAAGTTTATATAACTCTTTATATTTGGATTAAAAATTATTTTTAATATTATTTTTAGAACATATTAATATGTAATGAATTTATATTTTAAGTTTATTGAATCAAATGAATGACCCCATTAACCTTGTTAGTAAGATGACATTTGTAATGCATTTAATTTTAATATAAATATTGGATTTAGAAAATTTAGTAATCTTACATTTTAAATACATTTGATGATCTTGGAAGATAATAGTAAATCGAAGATAATCACCACTCGTAAAGTTTGACCGTTCGCGGATCAGAATTTGTTGGACGGTCTAACGTTCAAGCGGATTTGGAGGCAACTACCGCTCCCGGGGATCCGGGAGCGGTAGTTGCCTCCAAATCCGGATTGAATCCTGACGGGTCGACGCCTACAAGAATTTATCTGGAAACTATCTGTTTGCATGTGTTAACTCTTGTCTCTCACCGTGTTATGGTGTTATTCACTTCCATTGTCTGACCGAAATGACGATGGACATTTGATACAGAAGGTCATCTTAACGAACAATTATTTGTGCCATTAATGGAGACTAAGAGGATTTCATCATGCTCTTAATGAATGGTTTGGCTGGGTGATGAGGGACGGGGTCTGATGCAGTTTTCTTCACATTATTTGTGGCTGTTAAATTTTCAAAATCGGTCATATTTCGTGATGTATGCTCTCACCTCTCGTACTTTTGCAATTCAATGATCGATGTTCAAAACAATATTTCCATGGTATTCAGCAGGATACATAAATCATAAGGCTCTGTAGAGGCAAGCCGTTAAGTAATCGAACGAACCAACGATCGGCTTAACAAAGCCAACGTTCTATATCGGAATTTGAACACGGAATTTGACTATATTCGAATTCACATTTTATTAAAAATACTAAAAATATACGCATCATCCGAACAAAATATGAGTGTCGTCGTCATTCGCTATTTTTTCCCGACTTCGTATCAAATTTTATCAAGTTCCGTCCATTCGTTCCTGAAATATCAATATTTCTCGTTTCGTTTAAAAATTCTTCTTTCACCTATGGCCAGAAAAGTTGTTTCGTGAAATGTCGCTTGAGGTGCGCTGGTCGTTATGTGCGTCATTTTAATTCTAACTTTTTTGACAAAATTTAAATTTTTAAATAACGGAATATTGGGATTATTTAAATTATATAGTCCGTATAAATATAACGCTCGAACACTGGATTAGAGGTGAAAGAAACCAGTTCCGCTTCTGAAACATTTTTTTACTCCTTCTTCCTTGTGCGCACTAAGAGGGCCTCTTTTAGCAAGCCCATTATGGGTTCAGCCAGGTGGTGAGGGGTTCAGCCAGGTGACGAGCCCGACGTATCCGGACCAACCGCGAGAAATTCCTGGGGATTTTTCGACCTGTCCGGATTCGATTCTGGGTCTCCAGAGCGGTAGGCTGCCACCTTGACTGCTCGGCCATCAGACCCCGCTTCTGGAACTGATTCGAGTGCAAAACTATTTCGACGGAACGGTTTCTCGGAACTGCTTAGTCTGTTGGAGTAGGCGGTTACACGGAATTATCTTCCGTCAGAATTGCTGTTGGACTCGAAGATTTCTCTTCGGTTATATATATATATATATATATACTAGCTGCAAGGACCCGCTTCGCTGAGTTTTTATTTGTATGTAATATAGTTTTTTTTATATATATAAAAGACTGTTTTTCTAAGTAATCTAGAATCTAGCTGCAAGGACCCGCTTCGATGAGCAAAAAGTAACGATAGTGAAGATTAAGATAATTACATTATAACTAATCTTACCCGTTTTCACAGAATGCAAGAATTAGGTCCCCCGTTTCCAGACTAATTAGAGAATTTTTACGTTTAGTCAAACGAACTATTTTCAACGTTTCTGGAACGTTTACAATCGTTCTATAATCGAACCAATATTCGAATTTTATGTTCGAATTTAATTCGAACAAATTCGAACAAAACATTCGAAATAGAAAGCCACTTTCAACCACTTTCAGCTTCATATCTCCCGCACCCTTATAGCTATCGAGTCGCAACCACCCCTATGCACGAATGGAGACTTGGGGCTACTACCACATACAAACACCATTCACGTGCGATGTGTAGTTTTTGCGGAAAAGTGAAATATAGGGACATACACGTCCATTTATATATATATATATAGTACTCCAGAAAATAATAATAATAATATAAAAATAATACTCCATAAAAATAACACTTAGCAATCTTCATCAAATTTTTCTTGCCTATTCTCTGAGGGAAATATAGAACACCGTTAAACTTAAATCAGGGGAGGGGCGGGTTGTCAAAGTTTAACGGTATTCTATACTGTATTTTCTTCGGAGTCCCTAAGAATAAGTGTAAAAAGTTTAGTACAGATCGCGTAAAAGGCTTTGGAGTTTATAAGGAGATGGACAACCTGATTTCATCCTACTCATTATCTTTTAAGCCGTTTACCTGATCTATACCAAACTTTTTATACTTATTTCCTGGGACTCGGGAGAAAAAATATAGACTTCCGTGAAATCTGAACGCCCCAATCGCTTTCCGATTTGACCTCCTTGACACTTAGTGACAACCATAATAACGGTAGGCTAAAATAACCAAACTTGTGATGCAGTTTTCCTTTTTAACGATTATCCTTCTTACTTTTTGCTCGGGCAATGCTAAGCATATCTGCTAATTTACTAATAAAAACAAATAATTAAGAACTCTAATAAAATAAATTTTATAAAGTATCATTATAAATTTAAAATATTCAAAATTAATTTCATTATTTCTTAAAATTCGTAGAACATTGTCAATTAGTTTTAGGCTCAAATCCAGATAGAGTTCACTGTTCAGTTAAAAGCTGTATTCATATGTTGGTAGTTCCGGAACCGGAATTGTTTCTAGTTGTTTCGATTCCGATCGAAATTATCCACCACTGAAGGTTTTAAAAAACACTGTCACATTAGCTCGAACTAAAATTTGTGTATGGCGTCATCTGTTATTAGATTTTATTTAAAATTATCAGTTATGAAAAAAACAAAAGACTTGACTTTGAGGGTAGATTTGAGTTTTTAAATATTTAAATGCCAAAAACGAGTAAAATTTTCATTAAGTCTGACTCCACTCGAGATATGGTACATGAACCCTTTATCTTTCGACCCTCTTGATCTTTAACCATCAGAACATAATAGCATTAACAGCATAAATACTCCATATATAAAAATAATTCTTCCAAGTTTCAAAATTTTTGGTTCATCTAGCCCTGAGATATAATGTAAAATAGACGTCGACATAAACACACAAAAAATTTTGTAAGGATTGTTATATACACTATATATTTGGGCTCCTGGAGTATCAAAACACCGAGAAATGCAAAACAGCAGAGAGAGGATCAAAATTTGACCGACCACCATACTTTAACTTTGTTAAATTCTATAACAGTAGGGGAAATAAACTATCTCCAATATTCCAAAAGATAAAAGTTGAACGAATCTCTGTAAAACCGACTCGTTTAACGAGTGACGTCTCGCATAACGAGTGACGAGGAGAAGGGAAGTCCCGAATTGTGTGCAAGCTACATCAGTCTGTGTTTAGCACTCGTTCCGCTAGCATTTTAGTGCCGCTTGTGATCACACATTTTTCCAAACTTGTGTTCACATATTACATATAAAAATCAACAACCATAGCCCGTTATATAATAAACACGCCAAACGATATACCAAATTCTTAGGCTATGTAAAGGCTATAATTAAATATTAGAAATTACTGTATTTCGACTTTTTTTACTGCAAATCGAATTCGCATTTCAGGTTGGTTCATTTCGAGCTAGAAGAAAGTATAGAGATGATTCCCCTTCCTTAACAATGTATATTGTACACTTTTCTTTGAATAAACGTTATACATAAAATATTGTGAGTATTTTTTTCGGCATGGAACGTATTATCGTATTTTAATTTATATGGGAAAAATTGTTTCGTTTAACGAGTGTTTCGCATTACGAGTAAGATTCTGGATCGAATTACGCCATTAAGCGGGTTCTACTGTAAGTGTAAATCCATTTTGTATAATACATGATGTAATTGTTTTTCCCCCTCTACATTTATAATTTTTATTATGTGTTTTATACTTTGTTAATATTTTATTGGGGTGTTTTTATTCTTGTTATCATATCAGGGGATGGAATCCCCTGATATGATAACAAGAATAAAACACGTTTCCGTTTCCAACCGACGTTTCCAAATGTAGGTAAATAAATAAATAAATTACTAAAGTTTAGATAATTGCTTCTTTATAACGGAAAAAGTAAGCGTTCATTCAAAAGACACAGTAAAATGCATGAAAAGTCTGTGAATCGCCAACTGCAATCCGTAAAACAACAAAAGAAAAAAAAGGCGATTCGCCCGAATAGGATAACCTTGGACGTATCGAATTGTCACGAATTTTCCCGATATTCTAGAGATTGCCTCATACTTCTATATACAGACTACAATGTTTCCATTCCGACTTTTTCCAGTGAATCTAAATACAAATAGCGTCTGTTTCTCCCAAAATTACCGTGTATTGTATCTCATGTATTTTCGAAAACTCACGAATAGAAAGCAACTGAAGTACACAAAATCGCAATTGCAGCATCCAACTTTAGCGCATTCAGTCACGTCTAACAGCTTCCCGATTTCGTTTCGACACTGTTGCTGATATTGTTTACTTACCTCGAAAATCATGACGCTGAATTCACAGATCGTGATTAGAGAGCGAACTGCTTTATGCTTTATTCTTCCGAATCTCCTTTATATTGTTCTATTCACCCGAACATTTTATTGTGAATTGAATGTTCTAGTTATTAAAGTGACATTATTGCCTGTCAGTCCTTCGTAAAACGATCACTTCTATCCAGTGCATATTCTAACGTGCAATTGGACACAAGATATGTAGTGTGAATTTTGAATTGTGCAA